ATGTAGGTCGAGGAGGACGGGAAGACATTTGGGATAGTTCCTGTCCGAATCTGTCGAGGTCTAGGATTCAATCCAACCCATCCTCTGGCATGGGCTGTGCGTCAATCCTGGCCTCCGATATCCGTGCCTTCGGCATGGGGTTCGGCCCTTCCTCTCCGAAAGTATGATAGGTGAGGCGGCCCATTCGCCGCCACTCAGTGGACGGAGAAAGCCATAACATGAAGCGGTCGGCCGCAGGGGACGCTTGTGCCTTCAGTCGCCTCGTGACAGGTGCGCGCCGCTGCGGAAAGAATCATGTGGCTGTTTCTTCCGCCCGCCAGTTGTCGGCCCCCATAGGGAATGGCCTGGGGAGCCCCCGACCCGGTGCATCTAGCGCTGCGCCTGTTTGGGCCGCTAGTGGCAGACTCTCTTCTCATCGGCGCGTCTGGCCGACCGTGGCGCCCATCGGACCGAGGATACGGCAGAGGCAGGGCTGAGCCTGCAAGATTTCGTGTTTCGCTGCCCTGATCCCTGCGAGGACAAATTCGGCGCGCCTTGCCCTGGTCCGCGCACCCCCGTCACGAGCTGGATGAGTTCTGGATGTCAGGAGTTCGGATTGGGGCTCCAGCACGTGCGTACCACGGCCGACGAAGATGACGATGACGATGACGATGATGATGCTGATGTTTATGCTGATGCAGATGCTGATGATGCTGGTGCTGATACTGATGATGGTGATGATGATGATGATGATGATGATGATGCTGGGGTGGCGGTGTTGGCGGTGGTGATGGTGGTGTTGGTGGTGATGATGATGATGATGTTGATGATGATGAGGAGGAGGAGGAGGATGATGGTGGTGGTGGTTTTGATGATGATGGTGGCGGTCTTGGTGTGGAGGAGGAGGAGGAGGAGGCGAAGGAGGGGCAACGAGAAGGCAAATGGGGGGGAAGAGGACGAGGAAGGGAAGGCGAGGTGGCCGGAGAAATCAGGCATCAAGAATTGCAGAACACGAGCGGCGGACGCGTGGATAACAGGAGGAGGAGTATGAACGAACAATTTCGGAGGTCGTGGAGGGCCCGTGTCGCCACTCCCCTTTGTGCATCCACTCTTCGCCTTGCCCCTCTACTGTGTCGCTTCCCTCTTTCCCTTCCTCATCCTTGCCTGTATCCTTATTCCGTGACGCGCTATTGCTCACGCCGCTTATCCTCGTATTCTCTCCTCCCCGCCGTCGTGATCCTCGCCCCCTCCGTCCTCTCCTTTTTGTTCTGCGGTTGTAGCCCCCTGCCAGACCGAAGGCGGCTAGTTCGCCCGAGCCGAGATGCCTCCGTGCCCTCTGAGATTGCCGCCAGGAGAGATCGATTGGGCCGCGAGCGGCCCCGTCGATTTGAGTGGCCGCGTCGTTCATTATGATTTGCCCTTTGTGGCCCGATGCGCCCCCAGGGTGGCCCCGTGGGCCGCGACCATGGCAGAGGGTGGGTAGATTTCATTTTCGCCGAAACTCCAAAACGCAGCGGATATGGATAGTGAACTTGCCCGCGTGTGCGCCCCGTCCCCGCCACGCATTGCACAACGTCGACGGCAAAGCGTCAACGCTGAAAGGAAGAGCGTAGACGTTGAATTGTTTTTTTTGGTGGGTGGGATGCGACCTCCTGGGCCAAGCTGCTGTCTGCCGGCGAGGTGGCCTAGCAGGATTACGACTGGGAGCTATATTTTCGAGCAGTTTGCACCAAACCCCACCACCAGGCCAGCCCAGCAGCTGGCCAGCGCCCGGTTTGAACTTGCGCGGGTCGTGACCGCTTCCTCCATGTGTGCAGTCTCGTTCTCACGTTCCGTCATTTTTATTTTTCATTCATCCTTGTGCCCTTCCCCCTCTTGCTTCCGGAGGACATGCGATGGAAGGTTCACTGCGGGTTTTTCCAGAGCCCGTTATGGGCCTGTCGGGGCTCTCTTAGGGGCCTCTTTGGGATCAGCTGGGGCCCGTTGAGGGCTCTTCAGTGGCCTCGATGCGTCGTGGGCACGTCGCGGGCGCGTCGTAGGCGCCCTGTGGGCGCGATGGTTGCAAAGAGCTCTTATCAAGAGGCTCTGTTCAACTATCTTGGGAACGTTGGGGCCGTGTTGGAGCGTTCGCGGGCCGTGTTGGGGAGGATATCAGCAGTATTCGGCTTGTCTTTGGGCGCTCTTGGGGCCGTCTTGGGAGCATGCATACTGTATGGGGCAATCGGAAGGCCTCTCGAGTGGGGTCTCAAGCTGTAATTTCCAGATGCAAGAAACACATTAGATTACAGCCAAGACGGAGACGGCATAATAAAGAACAGTTCGGGTTCGGAAGGGGTTCGTTGTTCCTCATGTCCTTCCATGGTTGCTCTTCTAGCGCTCCTCGAGCACCCAGGCGCGTTTGGAGCCAAGCTGTGGTTCCGTTTCTTAGTTAGCTTTTTCTTGCGGTAGCGTCATCAATTTGACATTCTCTGCTTTGCTAACATGTACCCCCCCTGAGGGCCTTGTTGGAGGCTCTTTGGCGGGCCTCATGGGCTACCCAGTTCTTGGTGGTCTCTTGGGATCCGTTGGCGCCTTTGGGTCAGGCTGTGGTCTGCAGGGCCAGCGAAGGGGCATCGATGTCTGCAGGCCAGAACTGCTGCGTCGGAAGGGCCCGGGCCGTGCGCCCGGGAGCTCGCCGCCTGTCCCCCGCTTGGGCCTCTCCGCCCCCCTCCAGTGTGGGCTTCCATGGGGAAGGGGTTGAGCCCGGGTGGGGCAGGGAGGGGAGGGTGCTGACACCGCGTGGATGTCACACGGTGGTCCCGTGAATGTCCCGTGGTTGTCCCCCGTTGTCGCGCCCGCCGATCGTCGCGGTTCGCACATCTTCGGTATAATGTGCAACTATGTTCATTGCCACGTTCGCATCGTTTCCGGCTCCGACGACGCAGGCGCCAGTCAGGTTCGCTCGGAAATTAAGGCGTGCTCGAGCCAAACATCGACCCGGTTCGAGCACACGCCTTGTCGCCTCCCATCCCCTTTCGCATACATCTCCTGCGTCCTTCTTTACAGGTGTCGCCCGAACTTGTGTGAGTCAAGCTGACTGCACTCAGGGCTGGTCGTGCCCGCAGGCCGTTGTATTGTTGGCCGTCGAATGGGCAACATATGCTGAAACCAATCGCTGACTGTGTTATGATTATCCGCCGAGTTCGCAACCGTTGAGGCAGCTATGGCAGGCCATCTTATCACTGACCGCAGAGTGCGCAAGCAACGGCGCAGACAAAACAGGTAGTTTTACTCGTGGCCGCCGAGTGCGCAGCCTATGGCGCAACCTATGCTCTTCTTTCCTGCAGCGGCCCCACGATTTCTGAGGGGGAGGGGGGGGGGGTCACTTCGTTCGGGAGCGACCGAGCGAAGTGAACCCCTCCCTCCCCCTCACGATTTCTGAGGAGGGTAGGGGTAGGGTTCGCACGTGGCCCCCCTCGTTGTCTCTCCCCGTGCGCCCTGCACCTCCTCCGGAGTGGCACTCGACGCGGGCATGTCGAAGCCTTCGGAGGGTCGATGGGGCGCAGCTCCTCCGGGTCGGGGCACGTCGAGCCTCTCGCCTCTCCCTTTCCTGCTGGCTTCCACTCTCTCTCTCTCTCGCGCCCACACTCAACTCAGGAGGGGGAGACAGCACACAGGCACACTTCATCGTCGACACCCAGGAACAGATGGAAAACTACGGGAAGTGGGAGGGAAGTGGGAGGGAAGACAAAATCCTTGAAAAGATGGGGCACAATTAGGGGGATCTCGTTCTTTGTGTGCACTTATTTGTGCGTCCCAGGGCCCCTTCATCAACTCTGGCAACGTTCAGTTTGCACTGTGGCTTCTGTGTTTCGCTTGTGCCGCCAGATCGCCCGATTGCCCTCGCGACATGCGCGGGCTCCCCCCATCCGGCATGAGATACTTTCGTCGGGTCGTTTCCGTGTCGTCCTGATCTCGCCACTCTCCCTCGTCCTCCCGCCTCCTCCGCCTCCTCCTCCTCGCTCGGCAACCTCTTTCGAGCCAGACCGGGGTGATGCTGGACCGCAGCCTGATACCAGCCTTTCCGCCTTCTGAGTTGCGGTCGTCCCCTTCCTGTTCCTTCTTTCCTTCTCCCCCTCTGTCACAAACAGTGGCGCAGCCAGTTACAGGCCGTTTCACTCTCGGCCGCCGAGTGTGCAATCTCTGGTTCAGCCAACAGCAGGGGTTTTCCCCTCGAACGCTGAGTGCGCAACCCATGTCGCAACCAATCGCAGGCCTTTCTATAGTCGGCCGCCCAGTGCGCAACCTATGGCGCAACCACCAGCGGGCCGTTTCATTCTCGACCGCCAGGTGCGCGATCTGTGGCGCAACGAATAGCAGGCAGTTTGGGATTCTTGGCCGCCGAGTGCGAAACAGATTCCGCAACCAACGCCAGGCAGTTTTACCGTGGGCCGCCGAATTTGCAATCCATGGCGAAAGCAGAAGCAGGCCGTTCTATTCTTGGCGGCCGAGTGCGCAACCTGTGATGCAACCACCAGCAGGCCGTTCGATTATCGTCTGCCGAGTGCGCAACGGTTTGCGGCAGTTTGCAGCCGAGTGCGCAAACTATGGCACAATCCATGGCACAACCCGTGGACTGGGCAACCCATGGTGACACCCGCAGATCGCGCAACCCATCGTTCGAGCTGCCTATGGCGCAACCCACGGGTTACCCAACCTGTGGTGCAACGGTGCAACCCAAGCATGGCACAAACAATGTGGTATCTCGCAAGATTTGGCATAACTTGTGGATGGTGCAACCCGTTGCTTGAGTATGGCACATTTTGCTGATAACGCAACCCATGGATCGCGCATGTTATGGCGTAGCCCATGTATGGCGCAAGCTGAGGCGCAACCCATGGATCGCGCAACGTATGTTACACACCCCTGTCAGTTTTTTTGTTTAGCTCGGCGTTCGGGCTGGCGGTGGGGCACAAGCGGTGAGCTGTCTTGAGATTGCTTGCTCGTGGATTCCTGCGGTTCATTTTGGCTGAAGTCTGCAGGTTGCACCAACCCATACCTTACATATTTGCGTTTCATATTCATGTGATGACACAGCCGTCGAGCAAGATGACGATGACGGCCTCTGCTCTGTACGTGATGTTCTTCGCTTGGCTCGCACGCGGAGAAGCCATGAAGGTGGCGACGTCGGTGCAGCTTTTCAGGAAGACCATCAAGGAGCAGAAGAAGAGCATCAAGACCGTCGGCACAGCTGCACAGGAGACCACCAAGACCGTTGGTGCAGCAGCACAGGAGATGGAGAAGGTATGGAAAGAACACGCTCACAGCAGCTTCAACACAGCAACCAACGCGACCGCGGAGGAGGGCCAGTTCGAGCTCCGGGATTACAAGCGCGAGAGGACCGCTGCCCAGTTCGACCTCAGGGGTCACCGCCGCAAGAGGAGGGTGAGAAGGGGCGCCATAGCCCACAAGATGGCCTACTTCGGCAACGTCGAGGTCGGCACGCCTCCCCAATCGTTCCAGGTCGTGTTCGACTCCGGCAGCGGAAACCTGGTGCTGCCCGCGTCGGATTGCAGCAGCGAGGCGTGCGTCGCCCACAAGCGCTACGACCAGCGGGCATCCACGAGCGCGCGCCGCGCATCCTGTGCTTCCACGGAGGAGACTCCTCCTCTGATCTCCCTCGCCCTCCTCCGTGGAGGCCCCTCTACCTCGTACACCTCCTTCTCCCCCCTGTCGTCCTCCCCCCGCTCCCCCTCTCCACGGTGCGCAGACACCCTGACCTCAGTCGGTTTGAAGCTCGATCGCTCGCTCAGAGGTTTAGTTTCGGTTTCCCGTTCGTCGCCCGATGTCCCAGTCAGGCCCGACCAGAGACCACGCGCAATGCCGAGTCTTCTTCTTCTTCCCCAACCGCCAGAGCACCTGTCCGTTCCCTTATCAGATTGAGAGGGCCGAAAGGTCTTACGCTGTCCCTGTGTGCATGGCTGAGGTGAGGATCCGCGGCGCGGATTCTCGCTGCTGCATTCTCACTTAACAAGTATATATATATATTGTTGAAGCCCCCCGGCGCACCTGATTGTTTCACTTGGAGCCCCCCTTATGGGGCTCGCACCTTGGTTTTACAAACAAAGTTTTTGGGCCTCAGATCCCCTGGCGCCCGAACTACAAGAACCACAATCAGTTTCAGACTGTTCGCTCTGATCCGCTCGCGTGCCATTCGACACGTGTGTCCCAAACCCTCGATACCCGCCCTCCTCGTCTTCGATTGTACCCCCTTGGGTGTTTATCTTCCTGTCCTGCCACGTGTGTTTGGCGCAGCCCCTAGAACAGGGGAAGAGAGGACGGATGGAAGGAAGGGACAAGGGGGAGGGAGAAGGATGGAGCACGAGAGAGATTTCAGGAGGGGGGCCAGGAGCAGAAAACACGTTGCAGAACCAGGCAGGCAGAGCGGGCGGGAAGACCCTGACGTGCGGTTCGGGAGGGCGGGCCCCGGCGACCAGGTTGAGCAGGCGGGTCGCTGAAGCGCGAGTCCTGCATGATTCGCGAGGACTTGGCATCGCTCGGACGTGTGCATTTTTCCTTCGGCGAGGACCATCGAGGAGCATCCTTGATCAGTTGGCGAAAAAACCACGCACGAAACCGAAAAAAAACAGGGAACGGACGTCCGAGCGATGGCCAGAGTCTCGAGCGGACAGGGCGATGTCCAGGTAGACCGTGACAGAGGCCAGGGGGCGGGGCGTGATTCCTGAGGGTCGAGGGCGAGGCGTCTGGGCAACTTGCGAGGAAGTGCTGCGCGAGAGCTCGACTCCTCTACCTGGCATCGCTCGGACATGTGCATTTTTTCTCGGCGAGGGCCATCGAGGAGCATCGTTGATCATTTGGCGAAAAACCACGCACGAAAGCAAAAAAAAGAAACAGGGAATGGACGTCCGAGCGATGGCAAGTCGATGATGTGTGAAGAAGTCCTGCGCGAGAGCGCGCTTTCGGAATGTGTTGTGAGGAAATATCAGTTGGGAACCGCTGTTGAATTCTCATCTAGAAGAACAGTTATGTTTGATGCCAGCCGGTGCCCACTGGATTTTTGATTCCAGTGTTCCGCTTAGGGCTCGCACCCTTTGTTTTACAACGGAAAGTCTTGCGGCTCAGGTTGAGTTGTTGCCCCCTGAAGTACAACAACAAAGGCTCCCGCCGGATACTTCCTTGCAAATTATTTCGGCATCGCGCTCTTATTCGGGACTTCCTCAGAGGGTATGCAGAAACGGCGCTCTCGCTTGGCACTTCCTCGCGATGTCTTGCGGCGCCGTGCCCCCAACATTCAGGAACGACGCTCGCTCTGGACTTCCCCACGCTTTACTTGCGAAGCGCCCTCTCGCTTGAGACTGCCGATTCATGTGGGACGCACTCTTATGCACCCGCCCGCTCGGCCTGGCCGTCTGGGCCCGCCGCCCGACCCGCCCGTCTGGACGCTGCCGCTCGTCTTCCTCTCTTTCTCGTGCTCCATCCTGCTCCCTGCCGATCGTGAGACCGACTGTAAGGTCGATCTCACGTGAGATCGATTGTGAGGTCGATCGTGAGGTCGATCGTGAGACCGACTGTAAAATCGATAGTGAGGTCGATAGAGAGGTGGGTAATGAGATCCACGGTGAGACGGATCGATAAGAAGATCGACCAAGAACCCAGGAAACAGAGAACCCCGCCGCCCAGTAAAATCGGCACGTAACCCGTAACCGGGAATCCCGGAACCCGGAACCGGGAACCAGGGAACCCCGCCGCCCACCGAAATTGGCCCGGATTTTTTGCCAAATCTTTCAATCTCCACCAGGACCCCTGCAGTGCAAGTATTGCGTGGGGAATGACTGTTGCTGTGGTTGTTGTAAACGGGGGCAACGACACAATCTGAGGTCCAAGACTCCCTCCTTGCAAAAGACTGTGTGCGAGCCCCGGGAGGAGCCGTTTAATTCACTAACGCAATGGGCGCCGAAGGGGGAATCAGCTGTAATTATTGTTAAGAAATGAGAATTTAACAACGGCTCTGGCCAGATATTTGCTCATCAGATCTTAGAAACCGCGCTCTCGCTCAGGACCGCCTTGCATGTCATCAGGAATCGCGCTCTCGCGTGGGAATTCCTTGCAATTTATTCGCCCACCTCGCCTCGACACTCAGGGATCACGCTCTCGCTTTGAAGTTCCTCACGATTTGTTTGGGAATCGCGCTATCGCTCGAAACTTCTTCGCGATTCGTGCAGGACTGACGCTTCAGCGACCCGCGCGCCCGACCCGCCCATCTGGGTCCGCCTTCCAGGCCCGCCCGTCAGGGTCCATCCCCGCTAGACCTGCCCTTATGTGTCTTTCTCTTGTTTTCCTGCTCCATTTTTCTCCCTCCCCCATTGTCCCTTTTCTCCTCCCTCCCTTCCTGCACTCCTTTCCTGCTCTGTCTCTCTCTCTCTCTCTCTCTCTTTCGTTTCCTGTCTCCCTCCTCTTCCTGTTTGAGGGGCTGCGCTAACTAGACGTGGCAGGTAAGGAAGCCAGGGTTGCACCCCTCCCAATGCATCTGGGATCGAGCCCCACCCACCCACTGGATGGGTACGCCCGTGAGCCTCGCGAAGGCATCGCGAATGGGATCGCCCACCCCTGTTGTCGTGACCCTGTGGGCGTGGCGTGGTGGGGGGTACTGGGGCTCCCCCCCCGTGGGTGTGGGGTGGTTTGTTGTCGTCGTCGTCGCCTTTCGCCGTCGTCGGCGTCGTCGTCGTCGTGAGGGTTGGCGTCGTCGTCGTCGTCGTCCGCGTCGGCGTCGGCGTCGGCGTCAGCGTCGCCGTCGTCCTCGTCGTCGTCGTCGTGATCGTCTTCGTCTTCGTCGTCGTCGTCGTCGTCGTCCGCATCGGCGTCGGCGTCTGCGTCGTCGTCGTCGTCGTCGTTGTCTTTCGTCGTCGTCGTCGTGATCGTCTTCGGCGTCGGCGGCGGCGGCGGCTGCGTCGCCGTCGTAGTCGTCGTCGTCGTCGACGTCGTCGTCGTCACCCCCCCCCCATCCCTTCTGGGAGGGGGGGGCCGTGGATCCCAGGGGCCAATCTCATCTGGCGGGGGGCGGGCCGTGGTGCCCCTCGTAAGAGCTCGGCGCCCACGGCGGGCCTCTCTCTTGACGTGCCCCATCCAGCCCCGCAGACTGCCGGCGATCCTCCTCCACCCCCTCCTCCTCCTCCTCCCTCCTCCTCCTCCTCCTCCTCCTCCTCCTCCTCCTCCTCCTCCTCCTCCTCCTCCTCTCCCCCCTTCTCCTCCTCCTCCTCCTCCCCTTCTCCCTCCTCCTCCTCCTCCTCCTCCTCCTCCTCCTCCAGTGTCCGCAGCTGCGGGAGCCATGGTGATTAGTCTCGCCCCCCCCCCCCCCCCACACCAGAACCTCAGAACCTCCCGGAGGCCGCCGAAGTCCACAGAAGAGACTCCAGGTGGCAGATGCGAGCTTTGGAGAGCCTGCTCCACATCCCTCTCCCGCTGCCTCTCCTCCCCTCCTCCCCGTCCTCCTCCTCCACGAAGGGTGGGATCGACGATCGATGTAGAAAATACTCCTGGCCAAGACCTCGATGACTGACGCTATCTCTACCGCAAGCAACTGCAGGTGCGACCCCACTCGGATGTGCGCCCATCCCCGAGGTATATAGTCTTGAGCGCCAGTCTAAGGTATTTCACAGTGTCAATGAGTTCACCGACTCGTAACCAATACAGTATGACTACTGGAGTGGCCAAATACACAAGGCAAAACTCCAAATCACGAACGATCCACTGACATGGCGCCTGAAGGCGAGCGGGAACGAGCCCACGAGGTCACCCCAGAAGGCCGTGAAGCATTCTCCAAGCGAAAGTTGCCGTTGAGGCCGGCTGCGCAGCCACGAGCCTCGCCCTCGACCTCCGTGCAAATTTCGTGGGAGCGTGAGACTCGAGCAGGCGGGAGGTCGGGTTTGCCGACTTTTTCTTTGACGAGCGCGTCTGGGATTTTGATGGCCCCGTTGTCGTGGGATGTCTGCAGCGGGAGCCAGCGTCAAATTTCAGATTGGGCCTCGTCATTTTTATGGTGGCCCCGTCAGGCCAACCCGAGTCCCCCGCACCCGAGTCTTACGTCTCCCCGAACAATGCGCCCAGTCAGCACAACATCTGAGACACGCCAGTGTTGGGAGCGGCATGCCGTGCTTTCCGAACCACTGTTCGATGACGGATGACGCCCCATGCTCCCAACACCTGCAGCAACTCATCCAGACTACACACGTCACTAACGACCCGCGACCTGTCAGCATCATTTTTCCTGTACGCCGCGAACTTGCAAGGTAATGCAAGCAACTTGTGTTCGTAGATGTTTGACGGGCCCGTTTGGCACGAGGGAACGACTTCAGCCGCTAAGGAGAGACCATGTAATAGTTTGAACGTTTTTCGAAACAAAAATGCGCGCCTCGAAGACACTTCGCTAGAATGGGAAGGGGGCCATGGCATTGCGGCACAGCAGTATGGTCAACAAGTTGCCGTGGAAGCTGGCTGACCTTGGCTGCAACCTGTGCTGCACATCTGCACGCGTTCCGCCTGTCTGGGTTCTCTGAAGCGCAGTCTGGAGCGACGGCCTGGCGGAGCGCGCAAACCGCATAGTTGCTCATTGGCGGAACTTCTGGACACCATTTTGCTGTTTGCCGCAGGCCTGCTAAGCTCCATACGGGTTGCCGACCTTGCATCCGCAAGGTTCGACGAAATGACAATGACATCCAGCCATCTTGGCGACGGACCCGGCCGTCTGCAGGCGTGAGTACCGCAATGCAGGTGGGACAAAAGAGGAGGAGCATTAGAAAACGTGTGATGGGGTGTGCCAAAATTGGAAGGTGGCGCTGGCACTAGCGCCGGTGGTGGAGCTCCATGTGGCGCCACGAGACAGGTGAGTGGCATACCAGAACTGGACGGCGCTGTCATGCGAACCCTACCATTGGGGCCTTCGGTGGACCTCAATTGTTGGAGCCACGAAACGTGAGAGGCGTGTGTCAAAATGGGCGCGGTGACACCATGCGAACGCAGCCACGGCGGAGCTCCCAATGGGGCAACTAAGCGTGTGAGGGGTTCGCCGCAGTAAGTGCGGCGCCGCCATTCTGTGGCCTTCTGTGGAGCTCCACAAGTGGCCAGGAAACGAGTGAGGCGTGTGCCGAAATGAGGTCGTTGACGCTACGCGAACGCAGCCACGTGGGCCTTCGGCGGAGCTCCCTATGGGATTATGCAACGTGTGAGGTGTCGGTGTGTGTGTGTGTGTGCAGACATGGGTCTGGTGATGCCATGCAAGCGCAGCCACTGGGGCCTTCGGCGGAGCTCCCTATGGAACCACGAAGCGTATGAGCGGTGCGCCGAAATGGGTGCGGTGACGCCATGCGAACGCAGACACCAGGGGTTTCGGCGGAGCTTCCTCTGGGGCCACGAAATGTGTGAGAGGTGATGATGATGACGATGCTGATGATGATGATGATGATGATGATGATGATGATGATGATGATGATGATGATGATGATGATGATGGTGGTGGTGGTGGTGGTGGTGGTGATGATGATGATGAAGATGATGATGATGATGATGATGATGATGATGATGATGATGATGATGATGCTGATGCTATGGTGATGATGATGATGATGATGATGATGATGATGATGATGATGATGATGATGATGATGATGATGATGATGGGGTTCATGATGATGTTGTCGATGGTGCTGATAAGGATGATGATTATGGTGGTGATGCAGACGATGCTGACGATGATGGCGGGGACGATGAGGATGTTGATCAGGACATGCGGAGGGCAGAGGCAGGGATGGGAGGGAGAGGGCAGCGGGAAGGAGTGAGGACGCGGGGCGCTGTCTCTGCAAAACGGGGGAAACATTGCAGGTTGCTTGGGAACATCAAAGTGTGCACATAAGAATTGTTCCCGTGTCGAAGGTGTACTCTTGTGCAGCAGGATTCGGCAACGGTGGTCGTTCACCCGCCCGCGTAATCCACAACTACGCATGCTTACAGAACCCGTTCCTCCAGACAAGTTCTTCGATGCACGCTTGAACAGTCCAAGGCCAATGTTTCGATTAGTTGGTAGACGTGCTGCTTGTGGCCAGCGGGCGACCAAGCACCTGACAACTCAAGCACTACCAACTCATACATAGCAGTTGCTTCCAATAGCGATGCAGCATCCACGCTTCTTGAAAGCTATGCGAATGCTACTGGCCAAAAAACGCGCGACCTGCATTCTGATTGCCGCCTGCTCGCGGCCCGGGACGCGGGCAATATGCTCAGGAGAGAGGGACACAGCGACGACACGAGCAGCACAGACCACGTGTAAGCCGAAAAGATTGGAAGACTCGTGGTATCCACTATTCCATGTAGCTTCTTCATCGACTGCGAATGGGAGCTTACATTGTGGCCTGTCATGGCACAGCGGCAGAAGTGAGCGGAGCACGGCGTCTCCCAGAACATGCCTTCCACCTTGTCCGCGTCGGGGAACTGCGCGACGGTGTACATGGGCAAGATGTCCCGCAACTCAACCATGCGCAGGGCGTCAATAATAGTTCCCAAGCCTAATGCAAAGCTTTTTTTGCAGACCACGACCCCGTTTCCGTGCAGATTCTGTCCGACACGCGATCGGAATCCAACAGATGATCGTTCGGCAGCGAAAGAGCATGCAGACTCAGTGCAACTACTCAGCTTGAGTGCAGCTGCACACGAACATGTAACTGCCGTGGCCGCGGTGCACCGAGATATTCCGAACCGCCACGTCACACCCTTGATTGATTTCGGCGATGAATGTAGGACATTTTCCTGACAATGAAATCGACGATTAAAAGCAATTGCCGAAGGATCGTCGTCAGCGTCAGCCTACAACGACACAATGTCAATGCAAAGACCGGGTCCAGTCGAATGGCCCTCGGCCCACCCCGCCACCGTGCTTGGGTTTTGGGTACAAGCCTACTGGATGTTCGTTGGGATCTCGTGGCTGGCCTCTCGGGGGCTTCTTGGCAGCAGTTTGGAGGCAGCTCTTGGGTCTTCTTTCGGGCCTCTTGGGGGCCTCCTGGGGGCCTCTTGGGGTCCTCTTGGGGTCCTCTGGGCGCCTCTTGGGTCCTCCTGGGGGCCTCTTGGGGCGGAAGGCTAGGGTTTGGGGTTCGTGTTCCTTCCCTTGGGCCCCTTTAGGGGCCGTCTTGGAACCCTCTTGGGCCGTCCTTGGTGCCTCTTGGGCCGCCTTGAGGCGCTCTTAGGCCGTCTTGAGGCCCTCCTTGAGGCCTTTTGCCCCAATGCCGAAAAGGCGAGAATGCTCATTCAAAAGCCAAAGGAAAATCGATGATCTGTGCCCCTTGAGGCCCTCATGGGAGGCCTCCTGGGGCGTCTTGGAGGCCTCTGGGCCAGCTTGAGGCTATCATGGGCGTCTTGGCCCGATCTTTGGGCGTCCCAGGGCCCTCTTGGGCCATCTTGGAGGCCGCTCGGGGCCCTCTTGGCCCGTCTCGGGGCGCTCCTGGCCCCAGAAAGGTCCTGCGACACCGCTGCCTGGAGCCCAGGGGGCACCCTGATGGTCCGCTACCGAAAATTTCCGGTAGCGCTCCGCAGAGATCGGTCGCTACCGAAATACCGAAATGTAGCGCCCAATACCGGTCTCAGAGCGTTCTGAAATCCGCTATTTCAACGCCCTCAAACGAAGATCCGGTCGCTACCGAAATTCGGGGTGCGTCGAAATCGCTACCGAAAATTTCCGGTACCAGACCATCTGGGCAGCACGAGATGCCCCGGGAGACCTGGGCCGAAGGGCTCCGAGCCCCGCAGAGGCTCTTCCGGCAGTGAGGGCCACGGCTCGGATGGGGCAGCCAGAGGACCCCGGGGACGGCAGGCCCGGCGGCCGGCCACGCGGTTGCAGCCGCGGGCCGCCGCGGAGGACGGGGGGGAAGACGCTGTGCACGTCAGAGGCGGAGGAGGAGGAGGAGGAGGAGGAGGTGGAGGAGGAGGAGGAGGAGGAGGAGGTGGAGGAGGAGGAGGAGGAGGAGGAGGACGGAGGACGGGCAGGGGAAAAAATGGCACCGACGCGACGGCAGCCGAACGCCGCGAAGCACTTCGAACGCCCCATCGTCGCCGACTCCGTGGACAGGGCGTGTCTGAAAACTTGTAGCTACATGCACATCCCCCTCGCCATGGGGCCCCCCAAGGTGGACGACCTCGCACAGCACGGGTCACCGAACAAATGCAACACGTGCTAATTACTTGAGGTTCCCTCGGGGAATCCCTTGCCGCACAAGGAGTGATGATGGAAGTGACCGGACCAACAGTGCTTCATTTCGACCCGTGACCACAGCCAGGTGTCGTATTCCCATCTCCTCCTCACCCTCCTGCCTCTGCTCGTCTCCCCCGCCCCCTCTGCCTCCCCTCCCTCTATTGGATTTAGTTTCCCTCCTCACCCTCCTGCCTCTGCTCGTCTCCCCCGTCCCCTCTGCCTCTGCTCGTCTCCCTCTCCCCCGTCCCCTCCTGCCTCTGCTCGTCTCCCCCCTCCCCTCTGCCTCCTCTCCCCCTCTACTCCCCTTCTCTTTCTCCTCCCGCCCCTCTATCGGATTTAGCTTCCCAAGCGCCCGCCAGAGGCGGGCTCGTCGTCGCTGACTTTGCTTCATACGGGGTGCGCGTCCTCCTGCCTTTGTTCCTCGCTCGCATCCTTCTCCTTCCTCTCCTCCTCCTCCCTCCCCCTCCTCCCTTCCCCTCCTCCTCCTCCTCCTCCTCCTCCTCCTCCTCCTCCGCCGGTGTTTGTATTATTCTTCTTCCTATGGGACCCGCAGACACACATCAGATACCACGGCCGCCCCAGAGGGCGCCCCGACATTGGAGGCAATCATGGGCGTCGACCTGGGGCTCAGCGGTAATCACAGCGGGAAACAGGGGCGCACCGCTGGGGCGGCTACACAGCCACGGGACCCAACGCCACAGAGCGGTGGGCGCAAAAGGGCTGCCAAAGGACCACGCAGGGCTGGCTTAACCAAAGCGGCGAGGTGGACAGCAGCCTTCACACCAGCAGGACAGACGCAGACGGAGGCAGCCTGCGCAGCCGAGGTGCAGAGCTTGGACGAGGCCTTCGCCAACGAAACCAAGCCCACCGATGCCGCGCTGGCCGAGCGGCAGCAGCGGCAAGGTGACCGTGCAGCGCCTCGGCTGCGCGCGGAGCGCGCTGCCCGCCTTGCCCGCGCGGCGGCAGCAGCAGCGAGAGGACCTGCGCGCCACGGCAGCTGGAGCGCCCGCCCGAAGGCGCACCGCGGAGCGTGCGGGAAGGACAGGAGGTGTCCGCCGCCACCCGGGCAGGGTGGCGGGCCCGCCTCGAGGAGCGGGCGGCGGGCCTCCCGCGCCCGAGAGCGGCGAGGCGGCCAGAGCCGAGCCGCACGGCAGGCCGGGACGAGCGGCCGCCGCGGCGGAGAGGGCGCGAGCGGCGGCGAGGCCCTCGATCCGCCGCTAGCTGCAGGCCGGAGGGCGGCCGCGGCCTGGCGGCAGGCCAGCTGGGCCAGGAGGACGCCGCGCGGGCTGGCGCGCGGCGCAGCGGCGCGCCCGGCCGCGCGGAGGCGGGGGCCGGCCCCGCTCCGCGCACGGCCGGGTGGGGGGGCGCGACGCGTGAGCTCCCCACCCCGAGCGACGTCCTCCTCCTCCTCCTCCTCCTCCTCCTCCTGTTTCTCCATCTCCGTCTCCCTCCCTCTCCTCTCTCCTCCTCCTCCTCTCCTCCTCCTCCTCCTCCTCCTCCTCCTCTTCCTCTCTCCTTCTCCTTCTCCTTCTCCTTCTCCTTCTCATTATCCTCCCTCTCCTCCTCCTCCTCCTCCTCCTCCTCCTCCTCCTCCTCCTCCTCCTACTCCCCTTCGGATGACGACGTGCAGCGATGCAGGCTCCGGGCTTGGTTGATGGAGCAGGGCCCACCTCGGCGGACGACGTGTCCATCACCTTCGGCACTGGGCAGATCTGGGGCAAGTGCATCGATGAGCAGGCACAGCGAGGGGGAGGAGGAGGAGGAGGAGGAGGAGGAGGAGGAGGAGGAGAATGAGGAGGAGGAGGAGGAGGAGGAGGAGGAGGAGGAGGAGGAGGAGAAGGAGGAGGCGGAGGCGGAGGAGGAGGAGGAGGAGGAGGAGAAGTGAGGAGTGAGGGGGGAGGAGTGAGGAGGGAGGAGGGAGGGAGGAGGAGGGAGGAGGAGGAGTGAGGAGGGAGAGGAGGGAGGGAGGGAGGAGAAGGCTGAAAGACTAGAACACGTCACAGACACGAACGAAGGTCCGCGACGCTTTCTTGGCGGTGCTTCGGGCGCCGCCCATCAGTGCTCCAGGAAGTCCGCGCCGATCCAAGAGACATGCGCGGACCTCCGACAACTTCTGCTTGTGCCGGTTTTTCTTCCGGAGGAGGCAAGGGGCGGAGGCTGTGGTCTACCCCTCCTGTATCTGCGCACGTATATGCTTTGAGCAGCAGCCCCGGTTGGGCTTCGGGGGCCCTCGGCTGCCTCCTGGCCCTCCCCCCCTTTCCTCCTCTTGCGTGCCGTCGCCCGTCCTCCTGGGGATCGAGGCCGAGGATTCGAGCTTGACTGGAGAAGGCACGAGGGAGCGGCCTCCTCCCTGGCCGGGTCCGCGAGGCCTCCTCCTTCTGGCAGGGTCTTTTGGAGAGGCCCCCCGTCGCCACCGGCGGGGCGCGCCCCGGCAGGCGTGTGCGGAAGGGTGCCGGGGATGCGTGCGAGGGGCCAGTCTTGGAGGAGGGGGGAGGAGGGAGTTTAGCAGGAGGGGCATGCTGATGCGGATGCTGATGCTGATGCTGTTGCTGCTGGTGCTGATGCTGATGCTGATGCTGGTGATGCTGTTGATGCTGATGCTGATGATGACGATGTTGATGATGCTGATGCTGATGCTGATGTTGATGAATGCGGTTGTGAGGTTTGAGGTCACGGGGATCACTATGTTTCATGATGATGCTGATGATGTATGATGATGATGATGATGGTGGTGATGATGATGATGCTGATGATGATGATGATGATGATGATGATGATGATGATGGGGATGCTGCTGCTGATGTCGATGATGCTGATGATAACGACCATGATGATAACGATGATGATGGTGACGATGCTGATGATGCTAATAATGATGCTAATAATGATGATGGCGATGCTGATGATGCTGATGATGCTGATGATGATGAATGTGATGATGATGTTGGCGATGTTCATGGCGATGGCGTTGCCGATAGCGAGGGCACGATGATGACAATGACGACGACGGGTACGACAACCATGATGATGACGATGATAAGGATTACGGCGACGGTGCTGGTGATGATTGTGGTGATGCTGATTGACGATGCTCATGCTGATGGTGTTGACGATACTGAGGATGGTGATTGTGGCATTAATGGTGATGGTGATGGTCATGATGTTTGCGACGATGATGATGATGCTGCTGCTGATGATGATGATGATGATGATTATGATGATGATGATGATGATGATGATGATGATGATGATGAGGATGAGGATGAGGATGAGGATGAGGATGTTCATGCTGATGATGCTGCTGCTGATGATGATGATGGTGGTGGTGGTGATGGTGATGCTGATGCGGCTGGTGGTGGTGATAATGGTGATGGTGATGGTGATGATGATGATGATGATGATGATGATGATGATGATGATGATGATGATGATGATGATGATGATGAGGAGGAGGATGAGGATGAGGACGAGGAGGCAAGAGGAGTAGGGATGATGAGGCAGGACGGTGCGTCGGTGGGCGCTGGCCTTATGGGGGGGGAGCGTCCATCTCGCTGTTCATGGTTTTCGAGCCCCAGCTGTAGACCCGCCGACAGGTAGGCAGGAGGGCCTCTGGAACAACCTTTGGAGGTCAATGATGACTTTTCGGGTCGGCGCTCGAGCCCCCATCCCACACTCCTAGGCGGCGCATCTGGCGTCGCCCCCTCCACCAGCCTGTCGAGGGGGACAGGGAGAGGGGCCTCAATGCCGACTTGGGTGGTCCGTGCGGACATGCGAGAAAAGGTCATGCTCGTAAGGTGTTTGGTTTGTCTATTGCTGATTGCGCAAATGATATTCCAACAGTGGTCGGGGCAACGGCTCGTCTGGGTGGCCAACCAATGGTTCCATACATAGAGCTGGCCAAGTCATTAGTAGCTTCTTGTATGTCATACTCGAGTCGTGCCGATGGCAAGTGTGAGCCGGCTTGTCGCACCCCATTGCCTATGTTGCTTTCACGAAGGCGTGCACAGGAAATCCAATTCAAGCTCCAGCGCGTCTGGAATTCCAGTATATGCGACAGAAGTTTCACAACTTGTTGCTCCAGCGGCCCATCGAATCTCTGCTATCGGTTCCGATCGCACCAGCAGGCTTTGCGTGAGCTCCATGAATCCGGGCATCTCTAGCTGAACTTGCGCGTCGCGCTGCGCAGCTCTCCCCTTCGCTCCTTCGTTCCTTGTCTGTGCTTTGAGGGGCCGTGTTGTCGTGGCGGTAGGCAGGTAGGGAGCTTCTCTACCATAGCAGCCCCTCTTCGAGCTCACTACTCTGCGCTGTCTTACACATGGCGCCATGCGGCGCCATCTTTCCGCACGCGCTGTTTTTTTGTCGTGCCGTTTGTTTTCTTCCGGATCGCTCCGGGGTTGGGGTCTTCGGACTTGCTGGGGTAGATTTGCCTTGTGGCCTGGCAGGGGCCTCTTCGGGGGTGCGGGGGGCCCCCGTGCTTGCTTCCTCTGCCTCGGGCTGGCCGTCGCGTTGGTGCGAATGGAGGCGGACATGCACACAGCGCTACCTCTCGGGAGGTTCGCGCGGCCGTGCGAGGGCCTTCACGGCACTGAACATGTTGTTCTAGTGGGGGTAGGGGGTGCATAGGGGAACACAACGTGACATAAGCACGAAATTCTGAGGTCCGCTCGGATTTTTCGGATCGGCGCTGGGGCCCCCCGGCGGCGCCTCGGGCGCCGCCCCTAGCGTGCTCCGCGCGCCAGGGAGGGGGGTCCAGCGCCGATCCGAGAAATCCGCGTGGACCTCCGAGTTTTTATGTTTATGCCACTTTCTGTTCCCCTAGTGCAGGTGCCGGGGAGGGGAACCTGGCATCCGCGCGTCGTACCCTCCTCCTCCTCCTCCTCCTCCTCCTCCTCCTCCTCCTCCTCCTCCTCGCGTCGCGCGAGGAGGAGGAGAGGGAGGAGAAGGAGGAGGAGGAGGAGGAGGAGGAGGAGGGGGAGGAGGAGGAGGAGGAGGAGGAGGAGGGGGAGGAGAAGTTCGAGGAGGAGGAGGAGGAGGGTGCCTCGGGGCCCTCACTGGACCCCCCTCCCTGGCGCGCGGAGCGCGCCAGGGGCGGCGCCGGAGGCGCCGCCGGGGGCCCCAGCGCCGATCCGAGAAATTCGTGCGGACCTAAGAGTTTTTATGTTTATGTGACTTTTTGTTTCCCTATTTGCGGGGGCTGTGGGCCCTCACGAGTGGATCCGAGACGAAAGTTTTCGCATGGTGATCGGGTCGGGGGTTCCTGTTTCGATGTTCCACGAAGTCGTGCCCTTCTGCACGGCTTCACCAGGTGTATGTGGAGGAGGGCTTCATTGAGGTTTCCGGATGGGGGGGCGGCAGTAAGACGAGAGCGACGGCCGAGTCGGAACACGATGAGTAATTATGAGGCGATTTGTTGTGTTCGGACGTAGCTTGAATTTGTGTCTCGCGAGCTACTGGCTGGTAGTTTGGGCGTTTTACGTCCGGCCGCCGAGTGCGCAAGTTGTTGCGCAACCAATCGCAAACTGTTTTTGCTCGGCAGCCGAGTGCGCACTTCATGGCGCAACCAAGAGCGTGGCGTTCTATGTTCGGTCGCCGGGTGCGCAAGTTGCTGGACGGCCACTAGCTGGCCGTGGTATGGTCGGCCGCCCAGTGCGCAGACTTTTGGCGCAATCCGTACCATCCGTTTTATTCTTCGTGTGCGCAACGTGTGGCGAATCCCATGGCGCGCCCAATGGATGGTTCAGGCGATCGCAAACATGGATCAAGGGGGCGTGGATTAGCGACGGGTCCCGTTCTCATGGGATATTGCGGATTTCCACAGCCGAACGGGGCGGCATCGGCCGCATTTTGGGGAGGGCAGCCCCCCCGATCCATGGATTTGGCGACCACGCGCCAAATCCGTGGATCGCTAATCCATGATTGCGCGCCCCCGAATGGTGCAACCCATCGGGCAGCCAACGGTACAACCCATGTATGGCCCAATTTCTGGTCTAACCAATTGCCAAATCCATGGGTGACACATCCCATGGTGCAACCCCTCGCTGGCACGCCATACGCGGCTACGTCCGATGTCTGCTCTCCGTTTTGTCTGGCAGTGGGGCCCAAGCGGCGAGCTGTCTTTTGATTTTGGATGACGGTGCTTGATCGAAGACGCCTACGACGAATCACCGCCGTCCCCTGCCTTTGGACTCGCCTCTGTGGGCGAGCGTTGTGGCAAGAGCTCTGCCAAGCTGTCGGGCCATGTGTTCCCCCAGCCTTTGTAGAAACCCTTCGGGGAACACTCGGGGAAGGATGGCGGGGAAGATCACGTAGAGGAGGAGGAGGAGAAGGAGGAGGAGGAGGAGGAGGAGGGACATCTTGGGAGCCTCTGGGGGCACTTCTGGGGCCTCCTTGGAGCTTCATGGGAGCCTTGTGGAGGCATCTTGTGGCCCTCTTGGAGGCCTCTTAGGTGCCTTCGGGAGCTTCTGTGGGGCCTCTTTGGCAGTCTTAGGGCATCCCTGGCCCGTCTGACGCCGTCGGAAGCCGTCTTGGGGGCCTTTCTGGGCCGACTTGGGGCCCTCTTGGGTCGCTCCAATTCCGTGTGCTCCAAGGCCGTCTTGTAGGCCATCTTGGGCGTCTTGGAGGCCTCTTGGGCAGTCTTGGGATCCTCTTGGGGCCGTCTGTGGGGCCTCTTGGGCCATTCTGGGGCCATCCTTGGGAGGCCTCGTAGGCGATCTTGGGGCGACCTTTGGGGGCTCTTG